CATAACTCCATTAAAAATTGTCGTATCGTATAATTTAAAAAAGAGATTTTTAAAGCTGAAACTTTACTCTATCAAGATATATTTATATTGTTGGTAAGAAAGTAATTGCGGTTTTTACTGATAGATGTCTTTTAAAAAAACGCGATGACTTTTTACTACACCTAATATTTGTATATATAATGTTAAAAAGTCAGTAGCGCACGTCTGTCATATTCTAGTTATTGTTAGAGAACAGTTAACAATTATGAATGTTATATCAGTTGTAAGTGTAGCATTAAAATCAGTAATAATACACAAATTTATGTTTAGACCATTTATTATTAAATTATGCATATAATCTTTTTTCCAATTTCGATTTTCCGATATTTTTCGGCTGTAATGTTGATATCAATGTTTGTTATCCCATCTTTCCCTTGCCTAGAGGTTTTTGGCTTTTCATGCGAAGCGAGATCTACTTTATTTATTCCCTAGACAGAGTAGATCTCGCTTCGCGTGAAAAGTCATTACGTAAACCAGAAAAGATATAGTCCTTAATGTTGTATGTATCAGAAATAGGATGTTATTTTTTGAGTTTTTTATTAATAACCTTTTAACGATATTTAAATCTTTCTCAAGGTTATTTAAGTTATGCCTGATAACATATGTCAAGGTTAAGATCATTGAGGGAAGCTTCACTTATTTCAATTTTACTATAAATAGTTCTAAAAAATGGATAAGTTACACATTTTTCGACCTTCCCCGGTTGATTATCACTATCTAAGTCAGATTTTTATCAAAATTATAGCCCAAAAATGTAAAAATTTAAAAAAAGCCCCGTGTTCTGCATAATTACCAAGTTATTAATTCATCTATAACATGTAATTTGTTGTTTATGTTACCTGTTAAGCTCGTACTTGATGTTTCTTATCTTCTTCCCTTTTTCGGAGATTTCTTTTTCCAGTTTTTCTATCTCGGCGATTGCATTGTCGAAATCTGTTTGCAGATTCATTTTCTTTAGCATCAGCTTGCTTATTTCCTTTCGCAGTTTCTCATCCGTTATGTTTTGGTCTTTTATTAAACTCTCTAATCTTGTTATGTTATTCACGCCTGCCTCAATAGATACGTTCGCAACCTACATTTTTTATTATTTTTTAATAATTATGTTAATTGGTATATAAACGTACATGTATATAAAG